TTTCCCACATGACTCCACACCAGCTGTGCAAAGTAATAGGGAAGATGGGAGGGGTCCAGACAGCATCTAATGTATCTCTTATTTCCCAAATTGCCTGGTTTCTGGAAATAGTTTAGCCCAGCTTTCCAGTGTGAGGTGAGAAGGGAGAGGAAGCAGAAGGAAACATTTTATTCCCAGAGTAGAGTCAGGCGGGACAGAGAACTGGGGGCTGACAGTGCTCTGAGCAGGACAAGGACCCCCAGCAGTGCACCCAGTTCGGGACAGGGGGGAAAAACAGTCCCTCAGGCTGAGGCACCACTGGGAGCTGAACCCAAGATCTCCTGTTTACAAGGCAGGCACATTGACCAGATGAGCCATAGCACCCACTGCCACTCCTGACACTGGCTGCTCCTTAAAACACCTGATGCTCTGCCCACTTCTCTGCGCACATGCTACCCCAGGTTTGGGGTTTCCCAGCTGCAAACCCCATCTCTTTTAGCTGCAGGGAACACTCCTAGTGCTGACCCAAGGCCCTGGCACAGGGAGACCAACACATCCCATAAGCACCACCACCTGAGTTTGGCAATCCCCAGACCCTACAGGAACATGCTGCCCCCTCCCCTTGCCCTGGTAGAGCTGTTCCAGCTGCCACCCTACACTGCCCTGCTCTGACAGCCTGTCTCATCTCCCTTTCTGAATGCTCCTCCTCAGCACCAATCATTACACAAAGACAATGGTCATGCCAGGAGACACCGTGAGCCCCGTGGGGAAGGGGCTCGGGCTGCCTCCAGTCTCTAGGGCACCTGGCCAAGGAGGGACATCTCGCCGCGCATTTCCTTGCTGCCCGCCTTGGGCTGCCGGCAGGCAATCGCAGCTGCCCCGTGGCCACAGGCAGCCGCAGGGATTTCTTGTGGGCCATCTGGGGCTCTCTGGGGGCCCTGTATGCGTATGCGGAGAGCTCTGGAGCGGCAAAAGGAGATGGAGATGCTGGGGGTTGATCCCAGGGCCTCTTGCATGCAAAGCAAGCGCTCTCCCGCTGAGCTACATCCCCGTGCCAGCGTGCCCGGCCTGGCGTTCTCGTGCATCGGAGCAAATGCCTGTGTCTACTGCCTTGCCCTGCCGCCCAAGCTGGGGAAAGGGCCTTGAGGTGTTGGCAGGCAGTGCGGGTGCCTTAGGTGCCATTGGGCTGGGGAGGGGCTCGGAGTAGGGCGAAGAAGTGTGGCGCAGAGCAGGCAGGGCAGGTAAGGGCCAGAGTGGAGGCGTGGCAGGCCTGTGTCGGGCGGCTGCAGTGTCGGGCGGCTGCAGTGTCGGGCGGGCGGGCGGGCGGGCGGAGGTGGCGAGGGGGAGTGCGAATGGCAGGGCAGGGTGCTTGCAGTGGGTTGGGGTGTGGTGAGGGTGGGCGCTGGGTGTGTAAAAAGAAGGGCTCGTCCGGGATTTGAACCCGGGACCTCTCGCACCCTAAGCGAGAATCATACCCCTAGACCAACGAGCCGCGGCGCGCTCCCCCTCCCGCACGGCCCACCTCCCCCCGCCCCGCCCCGCGCCCGCCCCGCCTCCCGCACCGCCCCGACGCCGCAGCCCCGACACAGCGCTGCACCCGCCCCGCCAAGCGACAAGCACCCCCACGCAGCCCGCACACCCGCGCCCCGAACCGCACCCCGAACCTCCGCACCCCTTACCGCGCCCCTAAACCTCCGCGCCCCGCCTCTTCCACCGCCCTCACTGCTCCTCCCTCCCCGCGCCGCCGGCGCTGCGTTGGCCGAGGGTTGAACGCGTTGCACTCGAAATCCAGCAGGGGCTCCCTGCGCAGGTTCCAATCCTGCTCACTGACATGGGTTTTACCCAAAGCCCTGACACCTCTCTCTATTGGGAGTCCCGGCAGGAGTTGATAGGGGGAGCGTCATGAAGAGCCACACGGCCCTAAGCCCTACCTTCTCTTCTCCCTCAGGCGGTATTCACGATTTGGATACTGGAGGTGGAGCATCCTGAAGATTCTGAGTGTATTACTCCTCAAAACCCTCTCCCACATCCTTGGAAGGACAGTGTACCCCCCTTCATTGCTCTGGGTATGTGTTTTAGAGTGGAAGTGGTCCTGAATTCAACTGTTGCATGAATCTGCCTACACTATCCTCCTCCTTCTGAGCTGGTCCCCTCAGCATAGATTTTCACCCCAAGAGACGTCCTGAGCCCTGTGAGGAAGTTAAAAAATGCCTTCTATGCTCTGCAGCCTCCAGGCACGGTAGAAAAACAGCCACAAGATTTTTATACAACCTTGGGATGCCAGGACACAGCGCCAGGCCTTTCGTGGAGAGCTCTGGCAGCCTCACAACCAGCAGAGAGGTGTTTGAGAAGGCACAAGGATGTGGAGAATGCTTAGGGGTTGATCTGAACTACATCTCTCTCCCCCAGCAACATTTTGTCACCAGTCCTTTGGAGTCCATCTTTCCTTCAGGGATGTACCCTGCTAACAAGGGTCACCCTCAGTGCTGGACATGGTGAGTGGCCAAAAGTAAGAGATATCTTGGAGTTAAACCCAGGTCGTCCTACACCCAAGGCAAGAATCACACCTCTAGATCAATGAACCAGGAGGTGCTCATTCTGTCCCCCACTCTACATCTTCCAAAACCTGTTGGGGGTTATGGGGTGCCAGGGCTGTGGGTGGCCTCACACAGTGTGGGGGCAGGGAGGTGCCTCTTGCTGTAGCCACGAGATGCCAGATGCAGCACATGGGAGTCGCAGGCTCTGTTTCCTCCGTCAGTGGCCGTCGGCGGCCCTTGCAGGAGTTGGAATGGGCGGTGCTTTGTTGTGGCACCGGGTTGTGGTGTGGGGCATGGTGCAGAGGGGATGTGGTGTGAGCGGTGTTAGTGGTGAGTGTCAGCAATGGGCGTGTGTGTGTGTCAGGGGTGTGGGTGGATGGGGGGCGGTGGGGTTTTGGGGCCAGGGGCGGTGGGGGGAGTGTAGCGAGGAGCGTGGTGGGTGTGGGGGCGGTGGGGTGTGTGAGGTGTGTAAGGGGTGTGCAGGGTTGTGCGTGTGCGTGGTGTGGGTGTGCGGGCAGGGCGGCGAGGTGTGTGAGTGTGTGTGAGCGTGGAGCGCGGCGCTGTGGCGGCAGCGGGGACGTGTGCGGGGTGCGCTGGGGCAGAGTGGGGGGGCGGGAGGGGTGGAGTAGGCCGGCTCGTTGGTCTAGGGGTATGATTCTCGCTTAGGGTGCGAGAGGTCCCGGGTTCAAATCCCGGACGAGCCCTTCTTTTTACACCCGCAGCGCTGCCCCGACAGCCGGGCGAGGCCCGGCACCCGTGCTCACGCCAGGAGACACCGTGAGCCCCGTGGGGAAGGGGCTCGGGCTGCCTCCAGTCTCTAGGGCACCTGGCCAAGGAGGGACATCTCGCCGCGCATTTCCTTGCTGCCCGCCTTGGGCTGCCGGCAGGCAATCGCAGCTGCCCCGTGGCCACAGGCAGCCGCAGGGATTTCTTGTGGGCCATCTGGGGCTCTCTGGGGGCCCTGTATGCGTATGCGGAGAGCTCTGGAGCGGCAAAAGGAGATGGAGATGCTGGGAGTTGATCCCAGCGCTGAGCTACATGCCCCGTGCAACAGCAAGGGGAGTTGGCGAAGTCCCTTCGCCCCACTTTGCCCACCATGGCTCCAAACCCGACTGTCACAGGCTGCACTCCACCTTTCCCTGTCCTGCGCCCCTCCTGGTTTAAGGATGTGCCCAGAGAAAACACTGTGCCCATCGCTGCTCTGCAGGCACTGCTTCCCTACCTCCATCCCGACCCTGGCTCCACCACATCCCAAGGCGCGTAGGTGCCCAAAAATAGGGCTCGTCCGGGATTTGAACCCGGGACCTCTCGCACCCGAAGCGAGAATCATACCCCTAGACCAACGAGCCAGATAAACGTGTATTGCAGAAAACCCTTTTTTTAGTTCGAGAACTCACAGAAGTGCCTGGTGTGAGATGGGACCTGTGGCAGCTCTGTTTGTCTCTGATGGATGGTCACCATGAAGAGTTCACCCTTGTTCTTCTCTGGCTGTGGAGATGTCATCTGGGCATATGTAGCAGGTTGCTCTGGAATGCCAGAGACTGGAATGGAGGAAACAAACAATGCTCTATTTCCCAAACAATCAGTGTTAAACGAAGAAAATAGGTCACGCTGCTTTTGGTGTTGAATAAAGCTGAAACCAGCCTGACTCATCAACCTCAAATTTAAACATCCTGATAGTCAGTTGAAGAACAGTAGCTCTGGCAAAATATCTGGATAAAGGAACAAACAAGTAATATTACTGACAACTTTACTAAAACTGTTGAGCTGGCACAGCTGGCCTGGACATATGTGGCTCACAGTCCATGCTTTTATAGTATAGAAGTCCCATATTTGAATGGCAGGTTTTTTTGCCAGATCATTTCTTAAGGGTATGTGTGGAGATTCCCCCGTGAGAGACACTCCTAACATCACTCCCTAAGGCTGAGCCCAAGAGATTGGCCCCCAGTCATTGGCTGGTCTGGGTGAGAAACATCAAACTTTACTTAATAATTAGTTTTGGCAGCTTTAATATATTTGCTTTAATAAAATTGTATCGATATTCTTTCATAGTGCACTATATTGTAATAGTTGTTATAGCACCTATATTGTGTAGTAAATAATTCTGATTAAGATTTTTTTGTCTAATCATTGTAATAAAGAATATGTATTTGTGTAAGTATTAATTTCAATATTTATTTTTAATCCTGCAGGATAAAGCTGTATAAAATTTCTACTACATCTATACAATATTTTAGAGATAAATCACTCCAAAATCTGGGGCTAAGATTGGGTCCAGCCACACCCAGGCTCCTCTCTGAAAAGTTTAGAAAGCCAGGGGTTCCTCTGCACATTTCAAGATTCAGTGGGAGTTTCTAAACTTCACCTGAAGCTCCCACTCTGCCCAGCAGAGCATGGCTGTGGGCTGTACCTGCCTGGTTTTAAAATGGGGGCCACAAGGAGCCGGGGGCTTGGCAGAACCCCCAGAGGGGGGCAGCTCAGGCAGGGGATGTAGCTCAGTGGGAGAGCGCTTGCTTTGCATGTAAGAGGCCCTGGGTTCAACCCCCAGCATCTCCAGGTTTTTTTTCCTTCCTCAAACCCACCTCCTCCACGGGCCAGTGATGATAAACTCGCATCTACCTCGGGAATGGCTCCCCAAGGTGAGTGATGCACCATGGCAGAGCTTCCCCCTGAGGCTGAGGTGGCAGCATGACCCCCACTGCCCTGACAGCTGCTTCCCAATGCAGGAGGGAACCAGCCCTGGCCATGGCTGAGCTGTGCCTGTGCCCATGAGCACTGGGCAACCCTGTTCTCCTGGCAGTCATGGCACCATTCCATCCCAGGGATCACCCAGCTAGGGACGCTGCCTGTGCCCTCTGTGCTGGGCAGTGCCTCCCCTCCCTTGTCCTGACACTGCAGAGGCCATGCCTGGCCACAGGTGCCCAAAAGGAAGGGTCATGCATGAGCTGAAGCTAGAGTCCACGAGCCCACCCAACGCAAGAGCACTGCCCCTTCCCTGTCCACTGCTCTGCAGGAATCAAAACCCTGGGGAACAGGGTTCAGTTCAGTGCAGCTCCCCGGGCGGCCCACCACACCGAGCGGTGGATAAAACCTGTCGCTGTGAGCAGGATTCGAACCTGCGCAGGGAACCCCTATTGGATTTCAAGTCCAACGCCTTCACCCCTCGGCCATCACAGCCCCTCGTGGTTCCACCTCAACTGATGACAGCCACGGACAGTGCACTTTGCCTCTGGTTATGCCATCCCCCAGCCTGGTGTGGGGCTCTGCTCAGCCCCAGAACCCACACCTGGAGGGTTGGGAAAAGGGAACATGCAGGAATATTTACTGATGGCTGGAAAAAATCCAGGTCTCTTGGCCACAAGACAGACAGCACAGGGAAGCATCTCCAACGATGCCCAGAGATACAGCAGGTCTTGGAGGGGAAAAGACATGGAGATGCTGCTGGGGGTTGATCCCAGGGCCTCTTGCATGCAAAGCAAGTGCTCTCCCGCTGAGCTACACATCCCGGTGCAAGGCAGGAAGGGCAGGGAGATGGCCTGGCTGAGTCCCCTCATCCCTGGGGGTGCACACTGCCAGCCTTGGGGTGCCAATCCTGCCCACCCAGCCAGGAAGGAGCACCCAGCCCTCTGTGCCAGAGCCCTGGTTATGCCGCAGTCCCATGTGCCAGCCAAAGAAGTTAGGTGCCCAAAAGGTGGGATCATCGAGGAGGTGAACCCAGGACATCTCACACCTTAAGTGAGAATCATGCCCCAGATCTGTGCTCCCCAATTCTGGGAGTTGAGGAGGGTGCCTAATGTTGCCTTTTGCCCCTTGCCACAGCCTGGCACAAGGAAATCATCTTACTATGCCCAGGAGGTGGGGCTGGCATTTGGAGGTCCATGTTGCAAAACTTCTCTGAATCCAGTGGCCACAGGGCAGGAGGACCATGAAGACAGCGGGGACCCTTGGACACCACCCTGCCCTTGCACAGGAACATGTACCTCAGCGGGAGAGCACTTACTTTGCATGCAGGAGGCCTTGGGATCAACCCCCAGCATCTCCATGTCCTTTTGCCTCTCCAGACTCCTCCCTGTTGGTTGTGGGGCTGGCAGAGCCCTCTACAGACCCCTGCCGAAAGCACTGGTGCTGCCTGGGGGCATGGCAGGCCCAAGAGTGCGGGGCACAGCAGTGGTACACAGGGGGTGCCACACCCCATGCCAGCCCCTCGAGCTTCCCCACTCATCCTGCCCAGCCCCAAGCTGCAGTGACTGGGGGGGAACAACGGGAAGACCCCAGAGGGCTCTGCACCTCCAGAGAAAAACAGGACAGGCTCTGACCAAAACGACAATTCCTCTGGGAGTGAGACCCACATCTCCTCATACCTTAAGATGGAAACACACCCAGACCTGCATTGTTGGGCACCTTGGCATCACTGCCCTGGGCTTGCATGGGTCCCAGCTGGCCCATTGGTAAAAAAAGGTAACTTCATCACCGGGAGGACTTCCCCTGACCCCAGAGTGAGTGGTCCATGACTCCCTGCCCTACGATGCTACATATTCCTTGATAGGAGAAGAAAGTTAAGACGCCATTTATACAGGGAGAGTCGACTCCCATCTATGCAGGTAAAACCTGTATCAGTGAGCAGGATTGGAACCTGCGCAGGGAGCCCCTGCTAGATTTCGAGCGCAACGCGTTCAACCCTCGGCCATCGCAGCGCCGGCGGCGCGGGGAGGGAGGAGCAGCGAGGGCGGTGGGAGCGGCGGGGCGCGGAGGTTTCGGGGCGCGGTTCGGAGTGCTGAGGTTCGGGGTGCGGTTCGGGGCGCGGTTCGGGGCGCGGAGGTTTGTGGGCACGGTTCAGGGCGCGGGTGTGCGGGCTGCGTGGGGGTGCTTGTCGCTTGGCGGGGCGGGCGCAGCGCTGTGTCGGGGCTGCGGCGTCGGGGCGGTGCGGGAGGCGGGGCGGGCGCGGGGCGGGGCGGGGGGAGGTGGGCCTTGCGGGAGGGGGAGCGCGCCGCGGCTCGTTGGTCTAGGGGTATGATTCTCGCTTAGGGTGCGAGAGGTCCCGGGTTCAAATCCCGGACGAGCCCTTCTTTTTGGGCACCATCGCCCTCCTCCCGCCTAGCCGGCACCGAGCCCGACGGGACTCGGCCATCGCCCTTTATCCCTCAGGGACATGTGTAGGGCTTTGAACTTAGCGTGGCATACAGAGCGTCACATGGGACTGTGTCCTGTTTCTGGAGTCCCGACACATTGGTCCTGCAGAGTGACCCTATTTTTGAGTAGGCAGCGGAATGGGGATGGCATGGGAAGGGCTGTGTCTGTGGCCATGGGGCACTCCGGCAGTGGGGCAGGTGGGGGCTCTAGCTCAGCTGGTTAATGAAATAAACAGGGCCAGGAGACTTCTTCTCCTTTTTCAATGCCTTTATTAAAAGTGATCAGCTCAGGATTGGGTGGCTCGACGGGTTTGCAGTCTCCGTCGTCTCTCCCAAAGCGACTCAGAGAAGGAGGATATGCGCAGCTCTGTCCACAAGAAGCAGAGCTGGGGATCACGTCCTCGTGGGAGCTTTTAGGGCCTCCTGATCCCGTCAGATGGTACCTTTGCCGGCTCAGTCAGCCTCGTCTCACCGCCGGGGTCGTCTCTCTTGGTCAGGGCGAGAGGCTCTGAAGGTGTTTTGCATCTCTGCAGGTTCAGCATTCGGCTCTTCACGTCTAGACATCACTCCAGTCTCTCAACTCTTAGGTGGCTCGTTGTTTTGGGGTTTTCTCCGTACACCGGGGGACCCATGCTGCATTGTGGTCTTGGAGTCACTTTGCATAGCCCCCCCCACCTTCTACTGTTCGGGAAGGTTCCCACCCTTCTGGGAAAGGTACAACTTAGCCTCGGGCGAGGCTCTGCTGATACAAAAGGAGCGATTAGCCACAACGACTCGTGATTACAATAACAAAACACGAAGAACTTCAGCAGCTACCCGTGGTCTGGCTGCTTTTTGTAACTTTTTCTCACAAAAAAAATATTACTCGAATTTTGTTCATAACAGTTAACATATCTGTCATGTAAACAGGAGATCCTGGATTCGACTTCCAATGGTGCCTGGGAGTCTGGTTTTCCTCTCTGGCACAAGTTGGGGACACTGCTGGGGCTTCCCCACTGCCCGTTTGCCCCTCACAATGATGACACTGACTCAGAGCAGTTTGGGTGCACGTTTTTACTGAAAGCTTATTTCAGAGTCCCCCAATGGACATAAAAATTCACCAAGGTGTCCCTCCCACTCAGGACCTGCCCCTGCCCTGTGGTGCCTGCAAGCCCCATAAACAGCAAGGAGGATCTGTCTCCCTCGGCATGGCTGCCTAGCCCACAGCCCACCCTCCAGGTTCCTACACTTGGCTGGAGAGACCTGGCAGCACCTCAGGTACCTTCCCAGGGTGCCCAGACATGTCCAATGGCCAGGATGAGCCATAGGAGAGGGCTAATCCCCGCTGGGTGGGGAGAAGGGAGCTGTTTGGATGCCTCTCCAGGTAAGTCATCTACAGCCACACCCAGCATCTGGGGGCTAGGGGTGGTGTGGGGCCAGGGCACCTTCCTCTGTCCCTCTGGGCTCCCACCACGTGCAGAATCAGATTTGCACTTTGTCTTTTGCCCTCTTTGCTGCTTTTTGCCCAAGTTACAATGAACGGGCAGAATTAACAACAACTGTGATGGGAAAAACCCTCCTATACCTTCTTTGCCTGCTCTCCCCGCAGTATCCAGGGTATCCATCCAGGTTTCACACTTCCTTTGTCCCAGTTTACTTCCCTATTACACTCTACGTTTCAGAAGGTTATAGCCTGACTGCTCAACAGCGACTTTTGGCAGTAATCGCTCTTGTAACGATTTCTAAGTGCTTTCTTCTCCATGCGTCTTGGATAGGAGACCATCCGCCCCTCTACATGAGGACGTTGCCTGGCCCTTTAGACATTACGTCAATGTCTTCTGCCATCCCCTTCCCAAAATCTCCAGGGCACGGGTGACTTTTCATCCTGGAGAGACTGCAGATGCCCGTGTAGCCCAGGCACTAGCTGTTATGAACAAAATTCGGGTAATATTTTTTTTGTGAGAAAAAGTTACAAAAAGCAGCCAGACCACGGGTAGCTGCTGAAGTTCTTCGTGTTTTGTTATTGTAATCACGAGTCGTTGTGGCTAATCGCTCCTTTTGTATCAGCAGAGCCTCGCCCGAGGCTAAGTTGTACCTTTCCCAGAAGGGTGGGAACTTTCCCGAACAGTAGAAGAGACCTGAGAAGGTGGGGGGGGCTATGCAAAGTGACTCCAAGACCACAATGCAGCATGGGTCCCCCGGTGTACGGAGAAGACCCCAAAACAACGAGCCACCTAAGAGTTGAGAGACTAGAGTGATGTCTAGACGTGAAGAGCCGAATGCTGAACCTGCAGAGATGCAAACGACCTTCAGAGCCTCTCGCCCTGACCAGGAGAGACGACCCCGAAGGTGAGACCAGGCTGACTGAGCCGGCAAAGGTACCATCTGACGGGATCAGCAGGCCCTAAAGGCTCCCACGAGGACGTGATCCCCAGCTCTGCCCCTTGTGGACAGAGCTGTGCATATCCTCCTCCTCTGAGTCGCCCGGGAAGACGACAGAGACTGCAGACCCGTTGAGCCACCCAATCCTGAGCTGATCACTTTTAATAAAGGCATTAAAAAGGAGAAGAAGTCTCCTGGCCCTTTTTGTTTATTTCAGCTGGGGGCTCGTCCGGGATAGCCACGCCGCAAGACGACTCAGGACTGGCCATCTTGGATCTTCAGAGGACAGCTGGCTACCAGGACCAGGGATCGGCTCAGGAGCAGCGACGCAGAGGAGCACCGGAGCACCGGACTGGTGAGAAACCCGGTGGCGGGAGTGGGAGACGTGCGCAAGTGTGTGAGTGAGACGAGGGCCGGCAGCCGGACCTTCGAAGTGAGTGGGACCCCTCAGTACCGCGTTTCCTGACTCCTGCGAAGGGGCAGGCCGGAAACAGGGGAAAGCGAGTGGAATTAGCGTGAGTGAAGCCGTCTCCCAAGGGGGAATAAAGGGCCCCCCCACTCCGGGCGTGCGGAGTGAATTACTGTGTATGAGTGGCACGCACCCCAAAGTCCTGACAAAGGGAGGTCAGGCACTTTTGTAAGTCTCGAGAAGGATTCGCGTAAGATTTGTCAGTCCCGAGAAGGATTCGGGTGTTTTCACAAGCCCTGCAGGCAAAGTAAGTCCTGACAAAGGGAGTCAGGCACAAACCCCAGCGAAGGAGGCTGTGGTTTGCTTTTAAGTCCTGATACGGTGGAGCCTAAAAATTGGCGAGTTAGGCAAACTAAAAATCAGGCAGTTGTTTTTCCTGACTGAGGGAGTCAGGCACGACCCGGATTCTTGGCCGAGGCATCGTGTGTTCAAGTCCCGATAGATATAAGACCTGACGAAAGTTGGGCAATCAAGAGATTGGGCAGTTGTTTCAGTATAAAGTCCTGAGCATCAGGCAGAAATTTGAAGTTCAGTGGAGGAGGCTG